ATATCCATCTGCCATTTATTTACTTTCCGTCTCTTTGAAATCTTGCTGCTAAACATGGCACCTATCCGCTTGTTAAGTGGTGACGTGTTTGTGACGTATGTATACTGTTTCCGGGTCCAAGCCGCATCATTTGTTTATGATCGCATTTTATTCCTATCACTCATTAAAGTTAATTTTACATAAAGTCATAGTGTACACAACAATCTCTGGGCTTGCTGTATAACAAATACCAACATTTTAACAATTTATAAAAAATTAATCACTTTCTGGCCATCGGATATTAGGCATGGACACAACCCAAGCTCATTCTGGAAACGTAGCCCCGCGGACGATTCTGGAGACTGCAATTTACGTGGTCGGAGGTACGTAAAGGCCGTGTTTGTTTTTTTCCGAGCGAACGCTGCGGGGCGGTGTGGCGCTGCTTCGCCCCTTCTCTTCGCGCTAGCTGGCCGATGGCTCGCCTCCGAGTGGAGGGCTTTCCCGGTGCAATCAGTTTGTCCGCTTAGCTCACAGCATTGCGTCGGCGGAGCAGGAGGAGGAGGAGCCGGCCGCGTTGGACGACGACCGGGATCGAGTCCGGGGAACAGCAGGTTCCGGAAATCAGGTAAGACGAAAAACGGAATCCGAAAAATTAGGGCGAGAACGCGGCGGGATCCGAAAACGCGGTCGAAATCGAAGACGAGGGCTTTTGCTTTTTTTTTTTTTTTTCTGGACGGCTTTTGCGAACCGTCGCTCGGGTTTAGGGAAGGAGGAGGAGGAGGAGGAAGAGGAGGGCAGCCGAGTCGGCCGATCCGGCGGCTTTTCGCGCAAACGGGAGGCGCCCGCCCGAGACGCGAAAAAGCGCACACAGCGGCCTCTCGTGGATCCGAGAAAAACAGCAGGGGCTACGTTTCCACAATGAGCCCAGGTTGCATGGACATATATACTGCGATCGTGACTTTTCGAAAGTATTAAATCGCTTTGTAAACGTTTATTATTACCATTTCATGAGTCTCCCCATTCAGTTGAATAGAGCGCTTGGACCCGGAAGCCGCTTCGCGTGACGTCACACTTAACAAGCGGATTGTCTGCTTCCACTAAACAATATCTCCCAGTAAACATTCCCTGTTCTTTAGGCCAATTTGCAATTTGGAGTATCTACAAACTAAACTTATCTGTTAAAATGGAGAGCATCCAGCTTGATTATGATTCGTTTCAAAAAAAAAAAAAAAAAAAAAAAAGCCTCCTGACACCATTTTTGGAGTCTTTTTTAATTTTTAATTTTTTTTTTTTTATTATTGTTCATTCATTTATTAATTTTTCTTCAGCTTAGTCTCTTTATTTATCAGGGGTTGCCACAGTGGAATGAACTGCCAGCTTATGCAACATATGTTTTACACAGCATATGCCCTTTCAGCTGCAACCCAGCACTGGGAAATATTATCATTGTTTTCTGTACCTAAATAATTGAAATGTTCTTTAGAGCTGTGGTTCCCAACCACCAGGCCGTAACCAGTACCGGTCATTGGTTCAATTGCTACCGGGCTGCACAAAAAAAACTATTAATTATTTCCATTTTATTTATTATCTGAGTCTGAACGATCTTTTATTTTGAAAAGTCGTTTATCTTGAAAATGACCGTATTCTCTCGCTTACATCTCGGTCACTTGAAAATTTAACCCACAAGCAACAAAATGAGCCACCAGCTCATCTCGCTACAGCTACAGAACAAACCATCGTTACACAATAAGTTGCCTAATTCCCCTAACCTGCCTAGTTAACCTAATTAACCTAGCTAAGCTTTTAAATGTCACTTTAAGCTGTATAGAAGTGTCTTGAAGAATATCTAGTCAGATATTATTTGCTGTCATCATGGCATCATCGTCACTGTGGCGCAGTGGGTCGGTCGCTGGTTCAAGCCTTGGCATTTCTGTGTTGAGTTTCCCCGTGTTGGCGTGGGTTTCCTTTGGGTGCTCCAGTTTCCCCCACAGTCCAAAGACATGCGGTATAGGGGAATTGGGTAAGCCAAATTGGCTGTTGTATAAGTGTGTGAAAGAGTGTGTATGGGTGTTTTCCAGTGTTGGGTTGCAGCTGGAAGGGCATCCTCTGAGTAAAACATATGCTATATAAGTTAGCAGTTCATTCCGCTGTGGCAACCCCAGATTTACAAAGGCAATAAGGCGAAAAGAAAACGATTGAATAGTAGTGAAAAACGTTATTTGGATTTTTAAAATGTTCTTCAGATTATGAAAACACTGAAAGTTTCTTTAGAACCCAAAACTCTGTGTATATTCTACGGCATCCCTGCGAAATTTTCCCTGCGAGTTTCTTGATGGATCCTAAGGCTCATGTTTAATGCTGTATAGTTGGTGTTCCAGCCTTCAAGAGCCGGTTAGTTTGGTCTGTTTGATGGTTTGGGTCACTCGTCAGCTGGTCAGGATGGGAAACCAGTCTGGTTTGTAAACCACCTCAGGGTATTTTTTTCTGCAAGCTTAGCAAAAAGCGATCTGAATGTGTTGAAATGAGAGGGAAGGAAATGCCATGCGGAGCAATGACGGCTGGTTCTGATATATGTCCGGCTCGTGCTTGTAAAAGCTTCACAGGTGAGTGGCTCTGGAAACACTAAGTGCCGCTCACACAAACATGTTTTGTTTTCATTACTTTAGTCATACATGCCGTTTCCGTCTGGATAACTGCACTCTCACGCTACGTTTCTTCCCTCCCAATAAATACTTATGTGTTGCTGTCCAGTATACATATCGTATCATCCTTAAATTTATTTTAGAAAAAATGTATAAAAGTGTGCGATGATATTGTTACTGTTTAACTAATAAACAACAAATATATATATATATATATATATATAAAAATTAAAGACTGAAACTGAAATGAAAGTGAAACAAAAGGTATTAACATAATTTAAAATTAACTTTGCAATTATATACAGTTGAAGTCAGAATTATTAGCCCCCCTGATTTATTAGACCGATTTTTTTTCCCCCAATTTATGTTTAACAGAGAGCAGATTTTTTCAACACATTTCTGAACAAAATAGTTTTAATAACTCATTTCTAATAACTGATTTATTTTATCTTTGTTAAGATAAAAAAAATATCAACCATAAAATACCCAAAACTGCTAATTTATGGACATTTTTGTTGTTTACGGACACATTGTGTGCCCTGACTCGAACCCCAATCTGCATAAAGGTTATTTAACCAATTAATGACACCATCATAAATGCTATGAAGGAGAAAAATCCAGTTTGTGACATATCCGCATCTGAATTCATGTCATGAACGAGTTAGTCTTAGATGAGGCTCAGACGCACTGTTACGTGAATGCGCAAAATGTGAACCGGCCATATGGTGTTGGTTGTGAGCGACTGGAGATTTTGTTTTATGTTCTCCAGAAAGGTCTGCCTCGGGGGACGCCGCAGTCAGCAGCTGGTGTTCGGTGACGCACAGAAAACACTCAATTGTGACGTCAAACACCAAACATCTATTATCAAAATCTATTATTTTATGCCACCAAGGTTATTCAAGCACTCCAAAAATTTATCTTGTTGCTTGTTCAAGCTACTTATTTAATATGAGTTGAACCAACATTCATTCTGTCATTCGGCTTAGTCTCTCTCATCAGTCGCCACAGCGGAATGAACCGCCAACTATTCCTGCATATGTTTTATGCAGCAGATGCCCTTACAGCTACAAGTCATTACTGGGAAACACCTATACACATTCTTTACACACACACTCATACTCTACAGCCAATTTAGTTTATCAATTCCCCTATAGCGCATGTGTTTGGACTGTGGGGGAAACCGGAGCACCCGGAGGAAACCCACGCCAACATGGAGAGAACATGCAAACATGCGTAAAACATATGCTGGATGAGTTGCTGGTTCTGTGGCAACCTCAGATTAATAAAGGGACTAAGCTGAAAAGAAAATCAATGAATGAAGTACGGTTAGATAAACCCCACAAAAAGGTTTTCTTATGGCATTCGTTTGCTATAAGCTATTTTCGTATGAGATTGATGGTTCCATAAAATAATTTATGGCACACAGTGTTCTTTGGATTATTAAAATGTTCTTCTCACATGAATATGTGTGGTTTTTTGAAGAACAGTTTCTTTGGAAAACCTGGAAATAGTTATATAAAAAAAAATAATAAAATAAAAAAAAAAAATATATATATATATATAACCCCACACTTGTTTCAAACTTTCTTCTTGTCCCTTTTAATTAATTAATTAATTTATTTATTATTTATTTATTTATTTATTTGTTTGTTTGTTTGTTTGTTTGTTTGTTTGTTTGTTTGTTTGTTTGTTTATTTATTTATTTGTTTATTTATTTATGTATTTATTTGTGTGTAATTATTTTTTGTTTGTTTTGTTTTTTGTTAATTTATTTATTTATTTATTTGTTTATTTATGTATGTATTTATTTATTTATTATTTATTTATTAATTTATGTTTCTGTGTATGTATTTATTTGTTTGTTTTGTTTGTTTGCTTATTTATTTATTTAGTTTTGTTTTGTTTTGTTTGTTTGTTTTCTTATTTATTTATTTATTTATGCATGTATGTATGTATGTATGTATGTATGTATGTATGTATGTATGTATGTATGTATGTATGTATGTATGTATGTATGTATGTATGTATGTATGTATTTATTTATTTATTTATTTATTTATTTATTTAT